TTACAAGTCACTCACTTACTAACCAAGAGGCTTTTCTCATTCAATTTTCTACCAATTTTGCATAACACAAAGGCCCAATACAAGGTCCATTTGTTTATTCCAAAATTTGGTCCAACACCTCCGCCATTTTCCTCCTTTCCGATTTAACTCAAATACATTATGAAAGAGGACATGAGAGGCCAATTCTTCAAGAGAGACCCTTGAGAAGCTTCAAGTGTTTCGTATGAGTCATCATGTGATGTGCTGTTCCGCTTATGATTGTGCAATGTTTCCTATTTGGAGAGACATACGAGACTCGTGGGTGAACTATGTGTGAAATATATATATATAATTAAAGAAGGCTTGACAATGAAGACAAAGGTTCTCAGAGCAGAAAAATAGAGTACCGGAATGAAGCAGCATAGTACTGTCACAACCAATGCAAAATCTGATATTGTAAAGCAAGGCAACGCATAGCGGAATCTGCATTGTAATTCGCATATTTAGTTCAAGAGATTCCATAATAAGCATTCCACTAACCTCTTAAACAGAGGAGTAAGAATAGAATACACAGCTGCCAAAATCGGATCCTTTAAAGAACACATTTGGATATTTGTCGGGAGGCTGATATTGGAGAACAACGAAAGGCACTAATTAGTACGGTAAAAAGCTAGATATGAATTAATAAGAAGTACAAGAAAAACTGCAATGCGAGATTTGACACATGGAAAGCTTCAAGCATTTAGAACAAAAGGATGACACAATCTTAGTATGTACAACAAGAAAAATAAACCGGAGTATTAGTGGGAACAAAGAGGTTACCTTCATTGTTCTAAGCAAACAATTAAAACTCCCAAGAAGAAAACCTCGTGCTAATTGCCATCCAAAAGTTTAAGCGTAAGCCAAAAAGAGCACTGAAAATGGCACTGCATTAACCACCTAATTAGTCATCTAAACACAAACAGGGGATACAATAATCAAATGATCTTTGAGGATACTAACATCGAGATATTTCCCAATAGTATTATCTTTTTTTGTTATTATTAAGAGATTCGTTAGAACAAACGGTAGAGATATGAAGATTCAATAGCAGAATAACAAGCGGTAGGCAAAGTCTTCTCACCAACAAATCCAGCATAAAAAGCAATATATATCTTTCTTCGTCCTTGCAACACCAAAATCCTCAATCTATGAAAACAAAGGAAACATATATATACTATTGAGAGCCTGAGAGAAACCAAAAAAAAAAGGTATTGTATATATACATCAACCCCCAGATTGTAGAACATAACTCTTAGTTTGCCAC